TGAAATGAAAGTGTTATGCACTCATTGACAGCTAACTCAGGGCCCTGAGAGACGTGACAGCGGCTGTATTTTCACTACATTCAGTGTGCATTGTCCACATTCTCAGAGATAAATTCAAGACTTGCACAAATGTCAAGTATGATTACTGCAAGTATAAATATACCTGGAAGAGCCATTTTGTCACTTGTTTTCCCTTTTTTGGAATTTGTTTGTGCCATACAGGCATTAAAGCTGCAGATTGGTAGTTTTATCTTATTTTCACATTTGCTGAAGCTTTCACTATATCCGGACAACAGTACATGATGATCTGTGTAAAAATCAGGTTCCTCTTGCTTCCATTGGTTGTTATTTGAATTATTCTTTGTAACTTACTGCCGTCAATAGTAATGTTAATGATACCCTAGGGGTACTTGGGAATATTGAAAGGGGGTATGTGAGTTTGTTTTGTTCATGCACCATTCCTAAAATAATTATACTGTAAATTGGATAAACCACATTTTATATACAATACAGAAGCAAAATGTTGTTATATAGTGCTCCTGTGTCTGCATTCTTGTCACGGGGTTACAAACATCACTTCTTGCATAGTTGTATTTACATTTCAGGACGCGTGCTCATTTCAGAAATTTCACAAGATCTGGTGGAGCAAATTTTGGGGAAACCCAACCAAAGGGCTCTTTCTGGAGCTCACCATAAGTATCTGCCTCCCAGATGTTCTGGATTGTCCTCGTTACATCTCTTCTAATGAACTCTGGGTTTACCGCAACAGCCTCTCCTTGGTTGACTGACAGAAAGACTTCCCTAAAACTGGGCCCAAAAAAAGATAAAAAAAGACAGACAGCCCCAAACGGTCCACTTTTGTGGTTTCTGTCATATTTTTTTCGCCTTGCACGATTCCAAGATGACTCAGATAGACTCTTAAAAGATGCAGAGCACCTCCTCAAGCCACTGAGTCCAAAACAAATACCGAGATCCTCTGCCAAAGTAGTGAAGTTGAAACACACTTTTTGGGTCTAGAAATGATAGAGTAGTGGACAGGACATACTTAGCAGAATGCTTAAACTTCCTGCAAGTCACAGTTGACAGTCACATTTTTATATCATTTTTTTAGAACATACCCTCCATCAACCAGTTCTCTTAAACCAAGGTGGTAATTAACGCGCGCCTTGACATGTCACAATAACTGTTCGCGCCAGGTTTGAAGGGACACAGTGCTGGTCTTTGGGGGGCTCGCAAACTCGAAACAGTGAAATAAGTAAAACAGCAATAGGAGCTGGTCAATATATGGTGCACATTAAGAAGTCATAGATCAGAGGGTGCTTTGACCAACAGAACTTCATCTGCATCTGCAAGCTGCATCTGCACCTGTACCATGCACCTGCAATGAACAATCATAATTAAAATAGATAAATTAGAAAATCAAATCTGTGTGTTGTGTGTGTGTGTGTGTGTGTGTGTCATGCCAAAGGCGAACAAACAGAGAAGGAGATGCCACCACCTCTGTTTCTCAAAAAAGGATGCAAAACGGTGACAACCTGGAATGTGGGAACACATTGCAAGTCCAACACGCAAGTTTCCTAACTATGCCATTGAAGCAACTGACTAGTTTGCACAAAACCATGTTTTATGTGTTGTGTATTGAATGTTAATGTTAAATTAATATTGATAATGTTGTTAATATAATGATATTGCAGTGAGGAATAGTTGTGATAGTTTTTGGTATTATCAAAGTTGAATGTTGCCATTTTCATATCTAATAAAATATATGTACAATCATTGAACATGTTTTTCATGGTTTAGGTAAAAAGGACATGATATTGTGATTATACGGTGTTTTGTTCCTCCAATAATGAGTGTCTAGGACCTAGAAAATAACACTCCTCATGCCAATCCTAAACATCATAAATTAAGAATTAATAATGAAACAATCTAATCTTCCCCACAAGAAACTCCAACCACCAGTGTGTTAAACAGAACAGCCCATTCAGACTCCTGCCTCTGTTACTCAGCCATTAGTCAATGCAAAGATCTAAATCATCCAAGTAAATTTAGATAACATTTTCCTGTTAGGATACCTGGTATGATGTAAACGAGGTTTGAGAAAGCATGAAACCAGAGGATCACTCGTTACAAATCCTTTCGGGGTCCCAGAAATATCCATCCGAGACTTCAAGCAGTTAATAAAACTGTTCGAGACCCTTTTTGGTTTAATCTCCCAAATTCTTGCCTTAAGCAACTAAGGCCGGCAGTACCTGTCACGCTTAGTTAACTGCCACTTTCAAGGCAGGGAATGAAATCTAATTTAAAGGTTTTGTTACAGGAACAATAATTTGGAAAATAAAGCAAATTTAACCTTCCTTTAGGTGACACGGAACTCAGGGACGTTGATGTGGTGAAATCTGTACGGAGATCCAGGGTTGGGGAAGGGAGGGGGGGAGTTTTTTAAGATTACAAGGAGAATAGAAAAGCGCAGAAGAATCGTCCATTGAGACAGGGCCAAATGCGAGTGGGACCAACAGTGAAGGCAGACCAAGCCCGCACAACAGGTCCGCGCCCAGGCGGAGGGGCCTGTGATTAATGAATGTTCAAAGCTGTGGAGGTGTCTTACTGCAGATCCAACCTCCCCCCCCGTGTAACCTCCCCGGTGTAACCTCTTCCTCCTCCTCCTCTCTCCTCCTC